ACGAGCGGTAATGCCATTGGTGGTACACTTTGCAGAACAAGTAGTAGCAGGAGTAGTAGTAGTAGTAGTAGTAGTAGTAGTCGTACTAATGGTACTAGATGAGCACATTATTCATTAGTAGTACTCATACGTGTAGTATAGGTAGTATGTAGTAGTTAGTTACGTAGTAATAAGTAGTAGTAGTAGTAGTAGTAGTAGTAGTAGAGATAGTAGTATTAGTGATGGTAGTAAAAAAGTAGTAGTAGTAGTATAGTAGTAGTAGCAGTAGTCGTAAGTAAGTCGTATAGTAGTATAGTAGTCGTAGTAAGTAGTAGTAGTAGTGTAGTAGTATAGTAGTAGTAGTAATAGTCGTAGTAACGTAATTAGTAGTAGTAGTAGTAGTAGTAGTAGTAGTAGAAGAAGAAAGAAGAAGAAAGTAGTACCAAGTGTAAAAATTCGTTTGTAAAGCAATTTGAGTCGTACTCCCCTTGGAGGAGGAGGGGGAGGGGGAGGAGGAGGAGGAGACGGAGGAAGAGGGGGAGCCCAAGTTGTAGCAGCGGTAGTAGTAGTAGCAGTAGCAGTAGCAGTAGTAGTCGTCGTTATCGTCGTCGTCGTCGTAGTAGTAGTAGTAGTAGTAGTAGTAGTAGTAGTAGTAGTAGTAGTAGTAGTAGTAGTAGTAGTAGTAGTAGTAGTAGTAGTGGTAGTAGTAGTAGTAGTAGTAAGGAAGTAGTAGTAGTAGTAGTAGTAGTAGTAGTAGTAGTAGTAGTAGTAGTAGTAGTGGCAGGAGTAGTAGTCTTAGTCAGTAGGAAAAAAGTAGTAGGATCGTAGTAAGTGTAAGTTGTAGAAGTACTAGTGCTTAGTAGTAGTAATAGTAGTAGTAGTAGTAGTAGTAGTAGTAGTAGTAGTAGTAGTAGTAGTAGTAGTAGTAGTAGTGGTAGTAGTGTAGTAGTAGTAGTAGTAGTAGTAGTAGTAGTAGTAGTAGTAGTAGTAGTAGTAGTAGTAGTAGTAGTAGTAGTAGTAGTAGTAGTAGTAGTAGAGGGAACGCCCTCCAGGGCACGGTTTCTCCCTCGACTTCGCCCTCCAGGGAACGGTTGTTGGCCACCCGGACCAATGAGAAAATGTCCAGGACGCAAAACTGCTCCCGAGAAAGGGGTCGAGATCTAAGAAAGGCTTGGGACAAATTCGCCGACCCAACGGGCCAGAGGCGTGCAAAGATCCCCGGCAATTAGTTAAAAATCTTCTCGTTCGCGCGCGCGGGGCGACCCCTGGGGGCCCCCGGACGAAAAGTACCCCGAGCAGGTCCTGGGCACGTCGGTCCCAGCGATGGTTTTCTTCTTCGGCGCTGACTTCCAGGTCCCAGAGCGCCCCAGGAACGCCCCAAGAGAGCCGAGACGCCCCCGAGACGATCCGAGGGGCCCTGAGTCGCCGAAAGATCGTTCCAAGACGCCTCCAGACGGCCGTGGCGCCAAGAAGCCGCGGGGAGCCTCAGGAGGCCCTCCAAAAGCCTGAACAAGCAAAAACCTTCCAGGCATTCGTCACCCCAGGGCCTCCTGGAACGCCCCGGCGCCCAATGAATTGGCGAGCGAAAAACGTGCGCCGAGCCAAAGCGGGAGCGCAACTTTGAGAAAATTTCGCTCGGCGCCCAAGCGGGGGGGGAGGGGGGTGTGCCGCGCCCAACTCTTGCCATGCACTTTTGCGGGGTGGACGACAAGAACAGCTATGTGGGCAGGGAAAATCAGCATGGCATTGCTTCTGACAAGTAAGGTGGCCCCTCCCGCTTTGGGGTTGTCCCAGAAGTCCGCGCGCGATGTGCGCCGCGCCCCATTCCTGCCACGCATTTCGCATCGTCGACGACAAGAGAGGCCATGATGAAAGGAAAAACGGCGACTCTGTATTGTTTTTTACAATCAGGATGGGAGGGCCCGCGGCCCGCATGGACGTCCGCGCGCGATGCGCACCGCGTCCCACTCCTGCCACATATTTCGCACCGTCGGCGACAAGGCAGGCCATGCTGAGAGGAAAAAGCGGAGACTTCGTATTGATTTTTTACAGTCAGGATGTGCGGCCCCAGATTGACGGCCGCGCGCGATGTGCGTCGCGTCCCATATGTGCGCCGCGTCCCATCGCTGCCACGTATTTCGCACCGTCGGCGACAAGGCAGGTCATGCTGAGAAGAAAAAGCGAAGATTTTGTATCGATTTTTTACAGTCAGGATGGGCGGGCCCAGATTGACTGCCGCGCGCGATGTGCGCCGCGTCCCATTCCTGCCACGCGTTTCGCATCGTCGACGACAAGAAAAACGATGTTGAGAAGAAAAACGGCCACTTTGTATTGATTTTTTATAGTCCGGATGGGAGGTCCCGGATCGGGTTGCTATCGGCCAGAATACGAGGTAGGTGGGGGTATCTAGTAATAAGCAACAAGGATGTGGCCCCCTATCGGTGCGCGCGCGTCTTTGCAGGCTTGTGGCCGTGCGCCTGCACGGCGCACGCCCTGGTCGGGAGTTTCGGCTCAGCGCGTCGCTCCGCCGGGTCTGCCCCACCGCGCTCGTCGGCGCGACACGCTGGCCTGAATATGGGCGCGTCCCCCTACAGGAGGACGATTCAAAAGTAGCCAAACATAGTCTGGGGACGAGATTTTCTACCATCCTTGATCATGTTTGAATATTCTTGAGCATGCTGTCACTCTCGCCCAGAATCCGCCTGTACGAGGACATGCCCGACCTGACGCTAGCCACTCCCCACCCCCTGGGCCTCGACGTCCCCAGCCTTTCCAGGCCTCCCGCCCCGCGGAGCGGAGCGACAGGCTGTCCGCTCGGAAGGCAGATAGCGTGTCGCCGGGGCCGCCGCGGCGACACGCTGTGCAGAGCCCTCTGCCGGGGACACGGGGGCCCCCTGCGTCGCCGGGGCCGCCGCGGCGATACTTTTTTGGGTCTGCGGGTCGAGAGCGAGCCTCTTCCGGTTAAGAGCTAGGTGGGCCGCGCAAAGCACTAATTGGGGAGACAGGGCACAGGCGGGCGGGGCCTCAGGCGGCCGGAGGGTGGGCCGGGTGCAGGCGGTGCTGAGGAGCTTGCACAAATACCCGCGGCGACACAGGGGGCCCTGAAAGGGGCCCTCTGTGGCCCCGAGGGCGCACGAAAGGCACACCTCCACCCACTACATTTTAGCAACGCCCGATTTTGAGAGTCGAGAGAGAGGAGAGAGAGAGAGAGAGAGAGAGAGAGAGACAGAGAGAGAGAGAGAGAGAGCGAGAGAGGGAAAGCGAGAGAAAGAGAGAGAGAGAGAGAGAAAATCAAGAGCTGAGAAGACAGCAAAGGGACTTGCGCCCTTGAGGAGAACGCGGCGGTCGAGCGCCTGGCCGCACTCGGCTTCGACAAACAAACTGCCGCGGAGGCCTACCTCGCCTGCGACAAGAACGAGGAGCTTGCCGCCAACTTCCTCTTCGACGGAGCGGGCGCTTGAGCCGGCCGACAGCCGCGCCAGCCTGTGCGTCCCTTGCCATGCCAGGCTCCGCGGTGCCACAGGTCGGCGGCATGCGCAAGGAGGTGGCGCGAGGGGGGCGACCTTCTGAGGAGGCAGGGCGGGGGCTTCGCAGAGTCCCTCCCGCCCTCCGTGCGGCCTCCTCGGAGGCCCTCCTCCTCGGAGGGCCCACCTTGGAAGGCCCTCCTCCTCGGAGGGCCCACCTTGGAAGCCCTCCGTCTCGGAAGCCCTCCTTCTCGGAGGCCCTCCTCCTCGGAGGCCTTCGGAGGCACAGCCCCCATCCCGTCCCGAGGGGCCCACCTCCCTCGCCCCGCCCGCCTTGCGCGCCGCCGTCCGCAGTGCCACACGGGGGCCGTCACGGGGCGGACGAGCGCTCGAGGCCTCCCCTGGCCTCTGGAGCCGGTCCCCTCGCGGCAGGTCTTTTGGACCCAGGCTCCTCTGGAGGCCAGCTGGCTCACTGAATCGAAGCAGTGTGTTGTGGAATGTACGTGCGAGCATTTTGTATGCTTGCGCCACCGCCTTTTCGGCACCGTCGTTGCCACTGCGTCTGGTCTACCTCGGCACAAACGATTGTCGTGCCAGACTTGTCCCTTTCATGTTGGCAGGCCAAAAGTACTTCGGCGGCCCAAGGAGGGCGTGGGGCCAGGAACTGTTTCGAACAGTCGGGAGTCCTTGGCGCCAAGCGCTCTTTTTGGCGTGCCTGGGCTGTTGTGCCAGCCAGTTGCTTCATAGTTGCAACTACCTTCGGTCACGGAGGCTTTGGTAGACGCTCGTGGCAAGCGTCGCAGCGATGTGATCATCTTTGCACACCAGAAACATTCTGTGCGTTGACACGAGAAAAGCTTCGGTGGCCCCTCGTCTCACTGCGTTTGGGCGTCACGGATTGCACTCGCACCGCGGGAAGTTCAGAATCGATGGCATTGGGCGTGCAATATGAATACAACGCGACCCCAATTAGGGCGTCCCCCTCTCGAAAGCATTTATAATCAGTTATGAACCATGCAACGCATCACTTTGCTTGACATTTCTTGGCATTGGCTGGCGTTGCTTGACATTGATTGGCATTGCCTGGGATCGTTGGTTAGCATTTCTTGGCAGTACGTGGCATTGCCTCGTGTTGCTTCGCAGTGCTGGGCATTGCTTAGCATTGCTCGGCACTGTTTTTCATGGCTTGGCATGGCTCCGAATCGTTGATTGACATTTTGCTTTGCAGAGCTCTGCAGTGTGCGGTGTTGCCTAACACGGCTTGGCATTCCTTGGCATCACGTTATATTGCATTGTTTGGCTTTGCCTGACAAGATGAATGGACGTCATCGGGACAACGCAGCAGAAGTCAAAGCACGTTGCGTTGCCTTGAGATTGCCTTTTCATTTCGGTTTGCTCGGCATCGCTTGGCACTGCTCGGCTTTGCTTGGCACTGCTTGGCATTGCTTTGCGTTGCTCTGCACTGCACGGGCAGCCCCGAGCGAGCGGCCCAAGCGAGGCTGGGCCCCGCCTCCGACCCCATGGGCGTCGCGCCCGCGCGCTCCGCCCACCAGCAAGGCAAAAGCGCACGCCCGCCGTGGAGAGAGGCGCCGTCGAGATTCCTGCCCGCGACGCCCGGAGGCGCGCGCGCGCGCGCACGTGCGTCCTCGTCGTCGTCGCCATCGCCGTCGCCGCCGTCGCCGTCGCTGCCGCTGTCGTCGTCGTCGTCGTCGTCATCGTCGTCGGCGCCGTCCGACCAGATTCACGTCCACGCCGAAGCCCTGACCAGGGCGCCCGACGGGCATGTTTGCAACCCAGGGTTCCAAGTCATTTTAGGGGCATTCCTACTTCAAGTGTCGAGTTGTTTCGCTTTTGCCCTTCCTCAGACGGCGGGCGGAAGCCCGATCTACTCTGAACGCATTCCTACTTCATCTGCCCACCCCCTTGTTGTAAGCGGTGGGGGGTCAAGACCCCCTCAGGCAGGCCGAAGTGGGGAACGATCTATTGAAGGTCCGCGCGGATTTCCTAGGTCGGCGCTTGACCCCTCTCGCCCAGCTGCGCGAGGGGTTCGGGGGACGGTGCCAGAGGCGCCGCGCGGACGTCCGACGGCTTTTGTTGGCTTTCGCTGCAACCGCCACCGCAGGACCACCGTTCCCAACCACAGCTCGTGCTCCGAAGTGGCCTTCGCCCTGGCCTGCTGCAGGCGAGCAGTCCCGGGGCGGAGGGCAGTCCAGGGGGCGCGGCCCACCGCCTCCCCTCCCCAGCCCTGCCCGCCCTCCTCCGCGGGCACACCGCCACCGCCCCAGGGAGTTTGGACAGATAGTGGGGAGGATCTCGGTGCAGGTGGGGTGGTGGGGAAATTGGGGAATGTGTATTGGGGGCAAGGGTGGGTAAAGCCTCCGGACGTTCCAACTGCGGCATTGGGGGATAAGAGTTGGGTACGCACGAACGACGAGGTAACGCCGCAAGCAGAAAGTCCGAAGCCAGAGTACGAAGAAGCAGAACGGATGCTCACCCAAGCAGCCAGCCAGAAGAAGACGACGCCGCACGAAGCACGAGCGGCAACCGCAGACGCACCGCTGCAGCTGGTGAAGAAGACAGCGCGAAGCATCAGCTTAAGCTGCTGCGATGCATGACAGCTGAAGCGGGCTGCGTATGCCGCAGATGAAGCAAGCGAAGCATGAGCTATCCGCCGCCGCACGCCGAAGAAAACGACGCTCCGACACCGACCTCTGCTCACCTCGCAGCCGCAGCGCAGACCGACGCAGCGGCAGCCCTGCGACCAGCAGCACGAAGCACTCCGCCCTAAGCGACGACCAGCCGCCGAAAGCACCAAGCAAAAACAAACAGCCGAGGTCGCCGCCCTCCCTCCAGACATTACTGCAATCCGAAGAAGCAGGCCCGGGAGCTAGCAGCGGCACCTCGACAGCCGCTGTGTGCCCGGCGCTTACGCCGCACCTCCGGCTCCGCCCGTACAGCCGACATACGCCGCCGCCGCATCCGCCGCATCCTCAGGCCTAGCCTCCTCTCCTACCTCCCTCCCTCCCTCCCATTTCACTCCCCCGCATCCCTTACGGCGGCTCTCCTCTCATCCTCTCCCTCGCGTCCTCTCCTCCGAAGCCTCCTCTTCCTCCTCCCCCTCCCCCTCCCCTCGGCCGCAGCCCCTTATAGGCAAGCGGAGAGCCCGCCGCCCGCCGCCCGCCAGGCGGGCAGCACCGCGGCAGCGGCGTGGCCCCCCACGAGCGGGCCGCGGTGCGGAGGCGGGGGGCGCGGGCCGCCACCCTCGCGCGCGCCCCGCGCTCGCGCGCGGGGGCGGTGGGTTCAGTATCGTTCAACCGGCCCCCATCCCCATCCCTTTCGAGACCCCGCCAGCTGGGGAGATGCACAGTTGGGGAGATGCACCCCACCAGATTACCCCGCGAGATTTCCCCACCAGATTACCCCGCAGAGTCCCTTTCGAGACCCCCACCAGATTACCCCGCCAGTTGGGGCCCTCGAAGCCCGAAGGTAGCGGCCTAGATCCCCATCTGGGGGGGGTAAATCGGCCAGTGGGGCCCAGGCCACGCCTCTGGGGGTGGGGATCGGTTAAACGATGCTCAGGGGAAGGGCGGGAGTCTGCGGACAGAGGGTTTTCCAGCCTCGGGGTGCCCTGCGCCTCGAAGCAGCTGCGCGGGCGGAGGCGGAGGAGGAGGAGGAGGAGGAGGAGGAGGAGGAGGAGGACTTGTGCAAACCCAAGAGTCACCAGCGATGTTGGAAGAAGCCCTCCCTCCCAAGCTCCCTCTTCATAGGCCCTTACAACGGTTCCTTTTCACAGAGGGAGCCGCCCCAGTGAAAGACGACCGTCTGAAGCCCCTGAACATGCCAAAATATTGTTCTCGGTATTCGAACGCCACGGATTAACCTGGTTGTTGTGTCCTGACGATCCTGAGTCGTTCCAGAACTCCATGCCTGGGACTTCAACGCTGGGAGTCATCGTAACTGTTGCGCCCTCATGTCCGCGAGTCCTTCCAAAACACACCTGCTGGTACGTCGATCATGGGAACCCGTGAAGCCCTTGCAAGTGTTAGAACAAACAACAAATGCGCGCGGCGTTGAGGCGCGAGCCACATTCTGGAAAGGAGCCGCCCTCAATCCTTGAACCTCTTGCAAATGCTCAAAACGATTGCGCACGGCGCTGAGGCGAGAGCTCAGATTTCGAAAACGACCCGCCCTCGATCCGCGAAGCTCTTGCATTTTTCCAAAACGACTGTGCGCGGCGCCAAAGCGAGAGCCATATTTTGAAAACCACACGCCCTCAATCCGCGAAGCTCTCGCGAATTATGACAACGAATGTGCGCGGCGCTCACGCGAGAACCACATTTTGAAAACGACCCGCCCTCCATCTGTGAAGCGGTTGTAATTTTCAAGCTTCAGGGTCATAAATGGTGAGGAAGTCTCAGGCGAAACGCCCGGCCCGCCCTAAAAACTGGCCTCGGAGTGGGACAGGGAAGAGTCATTTACAAGGAGAAGGAATGGAGGAGGAGGAGGAGGAGGAGGAGGAGGAGGAGGAAGAGGCGGGAGAACTGAGCAAAGCCCCGTGTAGGTCGTTGCCAGCCGACCCGTGTGAGCCTGGGTGCCCCGCCCACGACGCGGGCATGCCTCGGCGCAGCCTCTCGTCGTGCGCGCAGCTTCCGTCACGTTTGCCACGGGCGGCGCAGCTGCGTCTCGCCGAGCCCGGGAGCCGGCGACAAGGGAAGGAGGGAGTCGACTACACGTAAGAGTGGCCTTTCGCCGGAGTGACCTTTCTTTGGTGCGGGCACAATGGGGTCCCCCGATCGCCGATTGCGATGCGATAGTAGCGTCTTGCGCGCCTGAGTTTGGTCCCCCCGCGGCCCCCCAAAAGCCGCGCACCAAAGGTCACTCTTACCCAGGGTCACTCTTGCGTGCAGCCGATGAGGGACGAGGAGGGGACGGATCAGCCCTGGTCCCAAGGGCTCCCACGAGGGCGCGAAATCATTCGCGCTTCGCGGTCCTCGTTCCTTCTCCCCCTCCTCCTCGTCCTTCTTTTCTCCCTTGTGGGGGGCGGCGCGAGAGCGCGAAGTTTTTCGCGCTTCGCGGAGCACTTAGCGCGAAGTTGGGAGCCCTAGAGGAGGGATCAGCCCTGGTCCCAGCCCAGCCTTAGTTGGCCCCGTCTGGCCTTATCAGGCGCAGGCGGCTTCAATCTGGGGCTTACGGGCTATGTGCCCTGATCCGGTGCAGTAGCCCCCTCCCCTTGTGCGGGCCTCGTGGGGCGATGATCCAGAGTAGACCCGGCGGGGCGTAAGGCAGCAGCGCCCCACGAGGCCATCAAGAATGTGTTCACGGCCTTCGGACGGGGGGGGGGCGCCTCCTCTGCCTCCGCCATCGTCCCAACTCTGTTCCTCCTCCTCCTCCTCCTCCTCATCCTCCTTCTCCTTCTCCTCCTCCTCCTCCCCTCACGTTGGTTGTCGCATCCCCTTCCTCCGCCCTCCTCTCAACTCCCCTTCCTCTTTGCTTCCTCCCTCCGCCCTCATCATCACCAGCTTTCCCCGATTTGGGCTGATGGTTTAATCTGCGTCCTGCCAAGAGCAGGACCAGCGCGTTTAGTTGAATGTTCTCCTTCCTCCTACTCATAATCCTCAGCGCAATCCCCCCATTCCTCCTCCCTCCCTCCTCCGCCTCCGTGCTCCAGTCCCTCGCTGACGTTTGCCTCCTGTGGCTCCACCCCCCAGTCTCTGGTCTCGGTCGGTGCGGGTGGGAGGGTTCGGGGCCCTCGCGGTCGCATCTCTTGCGTCTGCTCTCCGGGCCCAGGAGTGGTGGTGGTCGTCGTCATCGCCGTTGCCAACGTCAACGTCAGGGTAGACGTTTGCGAGGTAAGCGTCTTCGTCGCCGTCAGCGTCAACGCCAACTGCGTTACAGTATGATGCTGCTCCTCTTTGGGACCGTCCCCCATCCCCTGCCGCCCGGTACCAAGAGCCCACGCCGCTAGTCGACATGTGGTTTCATCACTTAACGCTCATCCTGTCCTGGATGGAACATTCAATTGAGCACCGAGTACCCAGCGTTTCTCTCCGCCCCCAGCCAGGAACATCCAACGTGAAGCATCATCTTGCGGCTGCCCCGTGGAGGAGGCAGCGGCGCACATACGCGCGGGGGAGGGGGGGGCAGAAGGGCGATGGGGAGGGGGGAGGGGAAGGAGGAGGCGGAGGAGGGGGGGGGCCTCACCCCTCACTGCCGCCTCACCTGCCCCTCCTCCATCTCCTCCCCTCCCCCCGCCCCCTCCCTCTCGGCGTCGCCCACTCCCACGACTTCCCTCCTACGCGCCTTCGTCGCCGCCCGTGCGGCCGTCGGGCGCGCGCGCGGGCGAGCGAGGGCCGTAGGCCCTGCGGGTCCGCCTCGGAATTCTGGCGCGCGGTGCCCCCTAGCGTGGGTTTTGGGGGGCCGCCGCCTGGGATCGGGCTCGCACTCGGGGTGCGAACCCGTATCCCCGTCGGGGGTGGGCGGCCGCTGGCGGCTGACGTGGCGCCCGCTTTCGTCCCCGCGGGGGTGGCTTCTGGCCGCCTGGACTGCCTTCTCGGTAGTCCAGGCTGGGTCGGATGCTTGTCTGGGCTTCCCCGTCCTGGGGTCCCCCCTCGTCGCCTCGGCGGGTCGGCCTCGCGCGAGCGCGCGGCGGCGAGGGACTCTTCTCTCGAACTTCTGGCGGCCCTGGCCGTCGTCTTCGCTTCCGTCGACGGCGGTCAGGGCTTCCTTTGAAGCTGCGCCCACCCATCCTCCTCCTCTTCTCCTCCCCTTTGGCGCTGCACATGCGTAGGCTTGCGAGCCGTCGCGACTTCACCTCCTCCTCCTCCTCCTCCTCCTCCTCCTCCTCCTCCTCCTCCTGCTCCTCCTCCTCCGCGGCCCTTCCACACCTCCTTCCCTTGCTGCGCCCGCGCCGTTCTCGATCTCCTCTTCTCCTCCCTCCAGCTGCCCCCGCCCATCATACTGCCACCGATGCCGATGCCGGCAGCGGGCCGCACCATACCAACACCGATGCCGCCCCCGCTCCCTCTCACATCTCCACCCCCGCCTCCTCCCTTCTCCCCTTCTCCCTGTAGCATGAGGAGGAGGAGGAGAAGGAGGAGAAGGAACAGCACGGGCAGGAGGAGGAGGATGAGGAGCAGGAGGAGGAGGAGGAGGAGAAGGAGGAGGAGGAAGAGGAGGAGAAGGGGGGCGTCCCGCAGCGCGAGCACTAGAAGAAGGAGGAGGAGGAGGAGGAGGAGGAGGAGGAGAATGAGGAGGAGGAGAAGGAACAGCACGAGGGGGGGGGATGAGGGGAAGTAGTAGTAGATTTGGAGGAGGAGGAGGAGGGGGAGGAGGAGGAGGAAGCAGCAGGAGGAGGAGAACCCCCCCGCCCATCCTCCGGGCTCGAGGCGCCCAGGAGCCGCCCCGCGGGGGGCCGTGCCCCTCGAGGCCCCTCGAGGCCGCGCGGCCGCGACGCCGGGGCGCCTTCACCACCGCCGGCACCTTGGGGGGGCGGCCGCGCGACGCGCGCGAAGAGGCCGCCATGAGCGCGGGCGAGGGCAGCGGCCCCGGCGGCGGCCTGCACGGCATGCCCGCGGGCCTGCTCTTCGGCAGCCGGGGGACCCTTCCGAAGCTGGGGCCTCGAGGGGCTCACCGAGCGCGTTCCACTACTCGCAAAGCGCTCACCCGCCAGGCTTACACTACTCTCCTCCGCCTCCCTCCCCCCCCGACCCCCTCCACCCCCCCATCATTGTCGTCGGCCGCCCGCCCGCGCTAACCGCTAGTGGCAGCGGGGGGGTGGCGCATCACTTTCCTGGAGTCCGTGTGCACTCGGCCCTTGACCAAGCCCGCGCCGTCGCCGGCACCTCAATTAGAGTCGCCCTCTCTCTCGGGCCCTTGTCCCCCATGTCGCCAAGCTGGAGCGCGGTGGCTCCGCAAACGTGCGCGCGCTTTCCTCCGAAGCCCGCTCGGGGCCCCGCTCGGGGCCGCCCCCGCCGCCCCGCGATGGGCCCCCGAATCCCGACCTCCGTTTTACCGAAGCCCGACCTCCTCCGTTTTACCCATGCGTTTCTTGCCAAACGGCCGGAAGCGGCTTTGTAAAGCAAAACGAACTCAAGAACGCAAAACGACATTCTAGAACCGCGAAGCGAATTTTAGAACAGCACAAGTAGTTCTAGAACGCAACACCAAATTCTAGAATTCCATATCGTACAACGCATAAGCGAAAGCCAATTCCAGAACGGCCAGAATACGTCTAGAACGACGAAGTGAGTTCCAGAATACACAAACAAACGAATCTATAATTCTGGATTGACCTGTCGGGCGCCAGTCGCGTGCTCGTTCGCCCGTCGGGTGCCAGTCGCGTGCTCGTGCACCTGCCGCGCGGTAGTCGCGCGCCCGTTCGCCTGTCTGATCCCAGTCGCGTGCTCGGGGGCCCAGAAAGTCAGCCGCCCAGCCAGCCATCCATCCAACTTCCGGCCCGACAGTCAATCCGCCAGCCAAACAACCAGCGAGCTAAACAACCAATAGCGAACCGCCCGGCCAATCAGGGACGGGGCGCCAGCAACAGAAGGAAACGCACGCTTGCACATGTCAAGAGAGTTCGCGCCCGCCTGCCATTCGCAGATGCGCTGGGCATGGATCCGTCGAGGCACGAACAACCCGCAGGTGACATCGGCGGGGCTTCAACGACTTGTTTGAAAGATTGACGGGTGCGAGCCATTAGCGGTGCCTGACAACGCGCGGGCGCAATCGTGGCGTCGTAGCGAAGCCAGGCGCTGCATATACACAGGCCGCTACAATACGTGAGCTTCACCCTGAAAGCCACCCGCCCACAAGACGGATGGATTTTCGAGGTGCAAAAAACTCACGTGGCTTTCACCCTCAGCCCTCCACCCTAAGATAGTGCTCATGTTATGGATCGTAAATCCCCCTCGGCGGATCCAAGCCATTTGCGATAAGCTGCTTTGCGAATAGAGGAACGCGCTTGTCTAGGGCCCTGAGTCGGGAAGCTGGTACATCTACATTACAAGTGGCGGGCTGTTACGGGGACGGCGTCGGGGTCAGCTACGCGCCCGTTTTGCTCTTTTTCGGCCTCGTGGAACGTCCTCGTCGCCGACGTCGGATTCGCCTCGAAACTCTGGTCAGAACGCACCCAGGGAAGGGTCCGTGGAGCAGCGGTATCGGTATTTTTCGGTTTCCCTAGGGGGAGGAGAGACGGCCTCTTAGAAGCACCGCTGCTCCTTGGAAGACGCGGGCCTTGTCTGCATCGGGGCTCAAGAAGCGCAGGCCAATGCAAAGGGGGATTCAGCCACGGCGCTGGCTCTTGCAGGATCCTGCAGAGTCAAAGGGTGCACTGAACTGGGCTTGCGTGCAGGATCCTGTAGGACCCTGCAGGATCTTGCAGGTTGTTGCAGGACCCTGAGAAGGCTGACTGACCCGGGTTTGGATTGACTCGCCTCAGTGCGTCCCCGACAGAGGGAGGCAGGTGGATGGGGGAAGGCTTCTCAGGAGCACCCCTGCTTCTGAGCAGGCGCGGGCCTCGTCTGTAGATGTAGGGCCGGCGCCTTCTAAGGAGCAGCCTCCTTCCAAGAAGCTTTCTCCCCTCCCCAGTACCCCTTTGTGCGCGCGGCCAGAAGCGGCTTCCGGGAGGGATTCTGCACGGATCAGGGCCTCCGCACCGTTGTAGGGCCCTATGCAATTGCACGGGAGAGTGGATTGTCGCCAGAGTGGCCTTGGCTTTCGGGGGGAGCACGCAGGCCGCTGCCGCATCGCGCGCTGCGATCGGCACGCCGCACACCAAAGGTCACTCTTGCCTGCGTGGGTCACTCTTGCCCGTACGGTAGGTTTACGCTGCGTTGACGCGGCGGTGACCCTAGCGCGGGCGTTCAAGGTGAAACGTTGCTAGCTCATGGCCGAGCCGACCTGCTTCTTAGGAGTCACATATCTGAGGCCCATACCAAGTACCTCTCTCACGTTCTAGGCGCAAGTGCCCATTGGCACATGAGGTGCCGCTGGTTCTGTCGATTCACTCGGGGTGGATTCGTCTATGTAGACAGCGAGGCGGGTTCGGTGCAGCACAATGTCGGTGAAAAGGTAGATCTGTCTACGCAGTGTTCAGTACGGCAGGTCCAACATGGTAACCGAGACAGGTCTTTAGAGCACTGTCCCCATCGTGGAAACAATTTGTATGTTCGGCGTTGATAGATTGAGGCCCCGCGAAAAAAGGGAAATCATTATTTATCCGGGGCACTCGCCTCACAACAACAACGACGACGACGGCGAGACGAGACGAGACGAAGGAGGAGATTGTGAGCAGGGCCTTCGCCGGAGAATCTGTGTTGAGCTAGATTGCAGCCCCCCTGCAAACGTTACTCCTACTGTGAAATGCGCCCAGGCATGACCCAGCCTGGAGGGGGCCTCCCGCCCATGATGAACCCGCCGCCCGGGCTGCCGCCGGGCCTCCCGCCGCCAGGACCGCCCCCCTCCCCCCCTCGCGGGGGGGGAGGGAGCGGAGGGGGGGAAGTTGGAGAGGAGAGGGAAACCAGCGCACAGAGGGCGCCTGCACGGAGGACCTTGACTCCTCCACCTTCCCACTCCTCCTTTCCTCCTCCCATCCCTCCTCCTCACTCCCCCATCCACTCCCCCTCTCCCCTCCTCCTCCTCCTCCACCTACTCATTCCTCCCACCTCCTCCTCCTCCTCCTCCTCCTCCTCCTCCTCCTCCTCCTCCTCCTGTGCCTCCTCCTCCTTCTTCTCCTCCCGCGTGCTGGGCGTCGCGTAGTAAGGGAGGCAATGAGATAGGTGGGGCAGCGAGGGCTGCAGAAAAGGAGCCCTCAAAGGGGCCCTACAGGGGCCCATCAAGGACCCAAGGGGGGGCTCTGCAGGACCCGGAAAGTGCACCTTTCTCCCCCCCCATTCTATGCGACGCCCAGCGTGGGGAGCCAAGACATGCTCGCGTCGAGAAAACGCAGGACGGAAGGTTTTTCGTTGTTTTCGGCCCCTGGGGGCCCTTACCAGGCCCCAGGACCGTCAACGCACGGCTCAGGATGAGAAACCAGTTCCGGAGAAGGGGTCGAGATTTTTGGGGACCCCGCGCTGAAAACGTTAGGACATTGCATGTCTGCGAAGGTGTCCCGACCTCTGGGGCTACGCTGGTGGAGGCCCACGGAAGATTGGCGAAAGCCAGCGGGAGTAACAGATGTGCCCCAGTTGCCGCGTGCGGCAGCAGCAGCGGCAGGCACCTGACTTTCGCCTTGAGCCAAGACCGCTCGCCAGCCGAGCGACCGGTAGATGCGGCTTTCGGGAAAGTCTGCCTACATGATACACGCTTTCCCCCTTCCCCTCTCGCCACACGGCCTGTCTTGCGCTGGTAAAAAAAAGGTGCGCGAAAAATGTCGGGAGCTCAGGGATAGCGCGTCTGCCGCCGGCTTTGGCCCACCATGCCTCGGCGCGACTCGCTATCCATTTCCTGGCCTCCCAGGGTCAACGCCCCGAGCCTTTCGAGGCCTCCCGCCCCTCGGAGCGGAGCGACACGCTGTCCACTGGCAGGGTACAGCGTGCCGCCAGGGCCGGCTCCCCCCGGCGGCGCCTCGGGCCGGTGGGGACGTCGGCAGTATGCGAGACTCTGGAGAAGCCCGCCGCAGGCGCCAATTTTTCTTGTTGAAATTAATTACGCATACAACGAGCCCGCCGCAGGCGCTGATTTTTTTCGTCAAACCAATGTGGGTAGGTCGCGGGTGGGTCGCGGGTGGGTCGCGGGGGTTGGGTCGCGGGTGGGTTGCGGGTGGGTCATTGTTGGGTCGCGGGTGGGTCGCGTCATCGCGGGGTGGGTCGCGGGTGGGTCGCGGGTGGGTCGGGGGTGGGTCGCGGATAGTCGCGGGGTGGGTCGTGGGTTGGTCGCGGGTGGGTCGCGGGTCGGGTCGCGTGAGTCGCGGTGGGTCGCGGGTGGGGGTTGGGTCGCGGGTGGGTCGCGGGTGGGTCGCGGGTGGGTCGCGGGGTGGTCGCGGGTGGGTCGCGGGTGGGTCGCGGGTGGGTCGCGGATGGGTCCTGCATTGGTCGCGGGTGGGTCGCGGATGGGTCGCGGGTAGGTCGCGGGTTGGGTCCCGAGTGAGTCGCGGGTGGGTCGCGGGTGGGTCATTGTTGGGTCGCGGGTGGGTCGCGGGTGGGTCGCGGGTGGGTCGCGGGGTGGGTCGCGGTGTGGGTCGCGGGTGGGTCGCGGGTGGGACGACGACAACAAACAACAACAACGCAACAAGCAGAAGTTTCACCACGGACCCCCATTTCAGCCGCGCGCCCAGGGACAATGACTGACCGTTCGGCCCCCTTAACTATTCTAATATATATATATATATATACACGGGCCGTGCCCACGTCGTCGCACCCTAGCGCCTTCGTCGCAGCAAAGGGGACGACGTCGTCGCACCCCGGCACCGTCTCGTCGCCCCCCCCTCCCTAACGTCACACGTCCCATCCGCAAAGGGCGCCCGTCGTCGCACCGCGGCACCGTCTTCGTCGCACCCCCCTCCGCTACCTCTTATCCGCAAAGGCCGCCGTCGTCGCCCCCCCCCCCCACACACACCCCTACCTCCCATCCGCAAAGGACGCCGCCGCCGTCGCCCCCCCTCCCCTACGTCCTATCCGCGACAGGCGCCAAGGAGGGCCCCGTCGTCGCACCCGCCGCTTTCGCCGTCGCACTCCCCTCCCCGCGTCCGTCCCCGTCCCATCCGCCAAGGGCGCCCGCCGTCGTGCACCCCGCCGCCGCCGTCGTCGCACCCGGGCGCCGTCGTCGTCCCCCCCCCCAACCCCCCCACCCCCCCTACCTCCCCCCATCTGCAAAGGACGTCGACGTCGCCCCCCCCTCCCTCCCCCCCTCCCCCGCCCCCCGCCCCCTCCCCCCCACGTCCTATCCGCTAAGGGCGGCAGAGGGCGCCGTCGTCGCACCCTGCCGCCCGCCCGCCGTCGTCGCACTCCTCCCCCCCAACGTCGTATCAGCAAAGGGGCGCCGTCGTCGCACCCCGCCACCGTCCTCGCATACACCCCCCCTCTGTGGCCCTTCTGCAAAGGACTTGTCGTCACACACGCACACACGCACGCACGCACGCACGCACGCACGCACGCACGCACACACACACACACACACACCACACGCACACACACACACTCCCCCCACACGCACACACACCACGCACACACACACATGCACACACACACACACACGCACACGCAACACGCACACGCACACGCACACACGCACGCACACGCACACGCACACGCACACGCACACACACACACGCCACAATACCCCCCACACGCACACGCACACGCACACACACAACACCCCCCCACACGCACACCCCCCCACACGCACACACACACACACACACACATACACACACAATCACACACCCACACACACGCACACGCACACGCACACGCACACGCACACGCACACGCACACGCACACGCACACGCACACGCACACGCACACGCACACGCACATGCACACACACACACACGCACACGCACTATCCGCAAAGGGGCACCGTCGTCGCACCCCGTCGCCGTCGTCGCCCCCCCCCCCCCCCGCCACCCCCTACATCCCATCCGCAGGGGCGCCGTCGTCGGAACGCGGGGATGCGCGCGCAACGCGGGGTGTTCCCACCACCCCGCGCGTTGCGCGCATAACCCCGCGCAACCCCGCACACCCCGTTTACCGTACTGGAATATGTCTTGGTACGGTTTGATGTTTTGTTTCAGGCGGCGTTTGTTTGCTTCTTTTATCTGTTCTGCTTGTTTATGAAGATGTTGACGTTTCATTCCAGGAGACTATGTTCAAATTGTCACCGCCACCTTGTTCTTAAGTCTTAATCGTTTGGTCGCATTACACTCCGACCTCCGCGGAAGGTGCGGAACAGTTCATCGAAACGCAGGGGAACCTTACGCAGCTCAAGGAGCAATCCGCGTAGTTAATATAGAGCAAGGGGCGGAAGGTTAGGGCGGAAGGTCCGGAAGAATGAGTCCAGGCCTCCTAGATGGAGTCGGAGTAGAAGGGGTCGGCGGATCGCACCGCATCGCCGATTCATCGAGGATGCGGCTCGATGTGGGGCATGCTTTTCCCCACACCGACGTCGCCGATGCCTCGCTGACGCCGCCGTTCCATCGCCAACGCATCGGCGATACATCGCCGATGCATCGGCAATGCGGCGCGATCCTCCGACCACATCTACAGTCAACCCGGATAGTATGGATGGGCAACCTTCCCAAGGATATGCTTGAATCCATGCCTCCTCGGCCCATCATGGGGGATTTCCGTCGGCCGCGCCCCTGTCGAGAAGCGTCGGCATGGGCGTCCAAGGCCCTTGTATCCATGTCCGCATCCTTTTGATACGGGCCGACTGCACTCCGAACCCATCCAGGAGGCCTCTAACGTGCGGGAGGGTGTGCGGGCGCTCCTGTGAGGGCCGGGCGGCTCGTCGCCAGGGAGGGGGTTTTCGAGGTTTGCGCACGGGGATAAGGCAAGAGGCAAGGGCAGCGGAGCACTGGGTCCGCCGCTCCGTGGTCAGTCCCTGGTTCGGCTTGGTCCTCGTGCACGTCGCCGTCATCCTCGCGGTCGCCGTCATGGTGGTGGTAGTTCTGGAGATTGCCGAAAGTTACCAAAACGTTCTGTCACACGTTTTCGGGCCTCGGGGTGTGATGGTTTTGCCCATACCTCACCGAGCGTGTTGCACTACTCGCAATTGCAAAGAAAGGTTCGACAAAATTACAGCTGCACCGCGGCGGATCCAGGCCATTTGCGAGTATGTACATAGCGAGTAGTGGAACGCTTTTGTCTAATAATTGCCCGCGGCTGATGGCGGACGGATCTCAGTTTCCAAAGCCTTTCCCGAAGCAGCAAAGATAACAAACAAAGACCACGAATTCTGGAAAACACCAGCGTCAGCACGGAATCGTCGCAAAAACGGAGCAGCAGCCGAAGACAGCACACCCACGGCAGTTCAAAGAGAGACACCTCGGCGGGACATACACTAAACAAAGCGAACAAAAAGAGGTTGGGCTCCAGAGTCCTCGCAGGCACAGAGGGAGAGAGAGAGACAGAGTCCTCCCCGAACAGAATTTGCGAGCCTCGAGCCCCGAGCCTCGAACGCCGGAGGAGGTCAGGGGGTCTGGGGGGTGTGATGGTCGCCGCCCCGGCGTCGGATTTGTGTTGAGACGTGGACCCCAAAAGATCTCGCCCCCCTCGGGGGCAGTCCTCCACCCTGGGCAGTCCTCCGCCCCAGAGGACCGGAGGTATTCGAAGGGGTCTGCAGATACCGAAGGTTGCCAAAACAGTCTGTCACGGCTTGTTTGGGGCACGAGTGGGATGGGTCGTCGTGGTGGTGTTCCTTGTGGTCTTCAGCGGCCGTCGTCTTGGTCGTCGTCTACGTCGCCGTCGTCCTCGCGGTCGCCGTCATGGTGGTGGCAGTGGTCGCCGTCCCCGTCGTTGTCGCCGTCACCATCGCCGTCGCCGTCGCCGTCGCCGTCACCGTCGCCGCCGCGGCCGCCGCCGCCGCTGCCGCCGCGGCTGCCGCCGCCTCCTCCGCCGTCGTCGTCGTCGTCGTTGTCGTCGGTGTCGAGGTCGTCGTGGTTGTGGTGGTTGTGGTGGTGGTAATGGTAGTCGTCGTCGTCGAGGTCGTCCTGGTGGCCGTCGTCGTCGCTTCGCGGCACAGGGCTGCCGCCCCCTGGGCTGCCGCCCGACTTCGACTTCTCGGCGCTCGCGCAGCTGCAGGGGCTGCCGCCGGGCGGCCTGTCCGGGCTGCCGGGGGGGCTGCCCGGGCTCGGCGGCTTCGGCGGGCTGCCCGGGCTGCCCGGGGGCCTGCCCGGCGACCCGGGCTCCTGGGCGGGAAGTGGCGGAGCGTCCTGTTGCGCCTGCAGGTCCACCCCCAGGAATGTGCTAAGAACCCTTTGTAATCTGCACGAGATGTTCGTCGAACACTTCTGGCTGAGGCTGCCTCGTTTTAGCCATGTGGCTGGTACGTTCTAAGATATACTCAGCTTTGTTATGAGAGCATTCTTTAGGTCAGAGAGAATATCGTGGTGGGCCTCCAGGAATGCCCGGACGGTCGGTCCCTGCCAAAGAAGAGGTAGCGATACCGCAGCGATGCCCAATTCAGGCGCTGCCACGACGGGAGGCACCTCCCAGAGAGAGCTGCGGAGCGGCGGTCTGTGCTCCTGCCCCCCACCCCCCCACCAGCTGCTCTGCCAGATTCTCGGGCCGGACGAAAGGGGGGATTTGGGAAGGGGCGGGTACGAAATCTGCTGCATGCAGCTGGTTTCGGCCCCACCGAGGGGCCCATTCCTCGATACATGACCGCCTCCGGCGCCGGGAGGCGCTGGGAAAATCAGCTACGTGAGCTGATTATCAAACCCCCCCTTTGCTATCCCCCCCTTTCGCCCGGCCCGACATGCGTTTGCCATGGAGCAGGCGAGCCCTGAGGGGCACTGGTCCTGAGGTGCTTCGTCGTCTTCGGGCCCTGGGGGCCCTCCCTCCCACTGGCCGCGGGCGCCGTCACAGAACGGCGCGGGATGGTGAGCCCTGGGGAAGGGCCCACGGGGTCGAGGAGTAGGTTCGGAAAATGTTGCTATAGGAGGTTCACCAAGAAAACCTGCAAAATCTCCGGAACCACTTCAGCAGAAAGCTCAAACCCTCAAACAACGTGAAAGCAAATTTGGAACCAAAACCTGTGAAAATCGCACCCCAAACAAATCTTTCAAAACATCTCGAAGTCAAAACTTGGGAACATCTGAATCCCAAATAAAACTTGAAACCGAACTCCAGAAAAAAATGAAGCAGAGAAATCGAAAACCATACGCGCGCTTGAAAACCTAAAAAAAAAAAACGGCCGGTTCGTTGTAGGTATTGTTCGCGTTTTTTGTGTAAGTTTCCGAGCGCGCCAGGGTTTGCAGTTAGAGTTGTTTAGGTTGTTCTGCTGTCTTATAGTTGTTTTAGAGTTTGTCAGGTGGCCAGTGTTTTTTTCAATATCAAGGTACAATTGTTTTAGAGTTTTTGTAAAGTTGTCCCAGAGGTGTTTTAGCGCTTCCTTGCTTTAGAACTGTTTCCTAACTTTCTCAATATTGGTTTACATGCTTTTATGCGTTCATCATTGTTTGGGAAATTTCATGTTATGTTTGTTTTAGAAAGGGTTGCTTAGAGTTCGAGATTCAAGCTTTTTGTTTGGATGTGAGTTGTTCCGAGGTTTCGGCTTAGAGATCTTTTTGAATTTTTCTAGTGTTTGAGATTCTCCCAGGTTTAGACTTACATAATGTTTGAAGTTGTTGTCCGGGTTTGAGATGTTCGCAGGTTTTGGCTTAGACGTTGCTTGAAGTGGTTTGGGGTTTTGAGATGTCTGCAAGTTTGGGCTTAGAGATGTTTGACGTGTTTTGGGTGTTTCAGATGTTCGCAGGTTTGGGCTCAGAGATGTGTGATGCTTTTTTTTGTGTTTGAGTTTCGTCGTGCGATGTGGCGGCGGACCGCCTGTAGTCGCTACTGCCAGACCTAAGTCCAGGACCCACATCTCTCAGGACCCGTTCCCTTCATGCCAGGCAAACTGCTCTTGCAGCTTTTGGCACTGCCAAGCCTTAGCGGTGTGAAGGAGAGAACACTCGGCTGACCGTTGGGACACGCGCGTGCAGGCCACGGCTGTGGGGTCGCGCGTGAGGCGCGGCACCGCGTGCGGTGGCTGCTGACCTCGCGCGGGAGACCTTTTTTCTTAATCGTTGTGGCGGATGCTGTCGGGGGTTTGAGGTGAAGGAGGAGGAGGAGGAGAAGTGTAAATCCAAGGTTCATCAACGACGTTGGCATACACCCTCCTTCCAAGCTCCCTCTTCACAGGCCCCTGCACGAGTTCAATTCCACCAAGGGCAGTGCCCCGTGGGGGGGCGACCGTGCGGACACCCCGAGGCGTGCCACAACGCAACTCTCAGGACTTGAACTCCACGAGTCGTGTTGCGTCCTGACGGTCCGCAACCGCTGTGTGCGCCGCCCTGGCGATAGCCACATGTTGGAAACGACCCGCCTTCCGTCCGTGAAGCTGTTGCCGATGTTTTACCATGGGGCTCACAAGTACGAAGGAAGTCTCAGGCGAAACGCCCGACCCGCCCTTCTGACTGGCCTCGGGGCGCGACGGGGAGAAGCTTCCAGATTGATAAAGAATGGAGGAGGAGGAAGAGGAGGAGGAGGAGGAGGAGGGGAGGAGGAACATGTGGGGGAGGGGGAGGGGGAGGGGAGGGGTGAGAAGGGGAGGTGGACGGGGTTGACGTGGGCAAAGGAGGAGGAAATCAGAAGCGGGAGGAGGAGGGGGAGGAAGAGGAGGAGAGGAGGGGGAGAAGGAGTTGAGGAGGAGAGGAGGGCGAAGGAGGGGGTTGAGAAGAGGGGCCAATGAGGAGGAGAGGAGGGGGAAAAGAGGAGGAGGAGGAGGCAAGCTAGGTGCGCTCGCGTCATATCTGACGTCCTAACCCTCCCTCCCATCCCTTACCATGGCGCTGATTTTCTCTATCCGCGGACGCATGTCGTAGCGGACCTGTGGCTCCGCGCGCGCGTGCGTAGTGGGTGGTGGTGCGCGTGCGTGCGTGCGTGCGTGTGTGTGTGGTTGTGGTGGTGGTGGTGGTGCTGGTGCTGTGCTGGTGCTGGTGGTGCTGGTGGTGTGGTGGTGCTGGTGGTGGTGGTGGTGGTGGTGCGGTGCGGTGGTGGCGGGCGGATGGGCGCGCGAGAAAGAGGCCCGCGCTGGGGCGAGAACGCCATCCTGAACGACGGAGGCAAAACACCGATCCGAAAATGAGGCCCACGCTGCAGCGGGAGCACGATTCGGAACGATTCGGGAGCAGAAAAGACGCCGGCACCTCAGCGAGAGCAGCATTTTGAGAAACAACGCAGGCGAAAACCCAACTCCCGGGAATCCTGTGTGTTAGAAACAGTACGCGGGTGGGGTCTAATACTTTCAGGCCGCCATCGGGGGAAGAGGGAGAGTAGTCTTCATGTTGAGTAATTGTAGAGGGGTGGAGGGCAAGCTAGGTGCGCAAGCGTCATATCTGACGTCCGACCTCTTCCCGTATGCCCTACCATTGCGTAGATCACCTCTCGATTCGCAGATCCCGAGAACAGGGCAATGACCCCAAGAGAGTACACGAGGCATTGTATAGCCCTTTGGCCCCCGAGGCGCTCGCGAGCCGTGGGTCGCGCAGGCCGCGGCACTGTCGATCGACAGTGGGGGCCCTGGGGCCCAGGAGGGGAGGCGATCGAGGAGCGAAGCCGGCTTCTGGAAGTTCCTTGGCGAACTGGGCGGCGGCTTGTGTGTATGTGCATGTTTGTCGGTCGGTCTGTCGTTCTACCTGTCTGTCTGTGTGCGCGTGCGTGTGTGTGCTGTGTGTTGTTTTTGGTTGGTGTTGTTGTTGTTGCTGTGTATGTTGCTGGTGGTGGTCTTGTTGTGGTTGTTGCTGTTGTTGCTGTTGTTGTTGTGATCGTTGTTGTTGTTGTTGTTGTTGTTGCTGTTATTGTTGACGTTGACGGTGTTATTATTGTTGTTGTTGGTGTTGTTGTAGTTGTTTTTGTTGTTGTTGGCACAGGCGGGACAGGCCCCCCGGGGTGTGGGGGGGGGGACAACAACAACAAACTCATCTTAAGACTGTTCGCTTTTTTCTGTTCACGTTTCAATCAATGCGTATATCCCAAACCCTCGGTACCCGCCCCCGTCGTCTTCGATCGTACCCACTCGGGGGTATATTTTCCATACCTGCCACGTGCATGTAGTGCAGCCTTTGAAACAAGGGAAGGGAGCACGTGTGGAAGGGGGAGGGAGAAGAATGGAGCACGAGAGAAATTAGCAGGGGGGGGCAAGGAGCAGAAAGCAAGTGGTATAACCAAACGAGCGGATCGGGTGGGCAGACCCATCGAGGGCAGGTCGGGCAGGCGGGCCCAGGCGACCAGGTCGAGCAGGCGGGTCGCTGACGCGTGGGTCCTGCATGAAACGAGAGGAGGTCCCGAGCGACAGCGCGATTCCCAAGCAACCGTGAGAAAAGCCAGAAAGCGAGAGCGTGATTCCTGAGCGCCGAGGGCGCATCGTCTGAATAAATTGTGAGGAAGTCCCGCGCGAGAGCGCGATTTGGTGATAACTTGTGAGGAAGTATCAGGCGGGAGCCGCTGTTGGGGCCAAGTTTGAGCCCCGCGATTTTCCCTGATATAAAAGGGTGCGGGACCCGGGAGAAACACTTCAATTGAACAACCACAATCGTCACCTGAGGGGGGATCAACAACACATATTGCTCAACAGTGAGAGTTCAAGAACAACAACGGCAACGACGCAACAGAGAAAGCTTGGAATCCGTAGAAAAGCTCAGGGGTCCCCAGGTATCCTCATGAGTCCATAAGAACCATTGGAATTCCTCAGGAAACCTCAGCAATCCCTAGGAATCTAAAGGAGTTCTTATTAACCCGTTGGAATCATTAGGGATCCCAAGGCATCCTGGGGAATCCCTCGGACCCTTAAGAAACCGTTGGAATCCTTTGGGATCCTTAGGAATCCGCAGGAATCTTGAGGAACTCACAAATCCTCAGGAGTTCCTTGGAATCCGTAGGAATCCTTCGCAATCCATGGGTTTTCGCCGGAATTCTTAGAAATCCAAGCACATCCCCAGGAACACCTGTGTTAAGATTTCTGAGAATACTTAGGAATCCTTGGGAAGCGAATCCGTAGGAAGCCTCCGGAGTCCCGACCGTTCTTTAGGAACCCTGGCGAATTTGTCAGAATGTTTATGAATCCTTAGAAATTTTGGTGACCCTTCGGAATCCCTAGGACTCCCTAGGAAGCGGTCGGAATGTTAGGGATCCATAGGGGTCCCCATGGATTTCTTGATGAACCCTTGGGGCCCTAAGGAATACATCGGAATCCTGAGGAATTCATCGGAATCCTTAGGAATCCTCCGAAACCCAAAGGAATCCATGGGACTCGTTGGGATTCCCTTCGGGATCCTTAGGAAGATTTGGGAACCTATCGGGGGCCTCGGGAATCCACGTGAACTCGTAGGCATTGTTAGGGCTCCGTCGGAATTTACAGGGATCCTTAGAAATCCACCAGAACCCTTAGGATTATTTGGCGATCCTTAGGGTTCCAAAGGAAACCCTTAGGAATGCGTAGGAACCCATCGGTATCACTCGGTATATGTTGGGGTCCTTCGGAAAAGAATCCTGAGGAGGAACCCTTCAGCTTCCCGAGAACCCCTAGGGACCCTTAGGAATATTTAGGGATCCTTGTTGGGTCCTAGGGGATTCTTACACATTTTGAGAAATCCAGAAGGGTCCGCTGGAATTTTGAGAAATCCATAGTTACGATTAGGAATCCAAAGGACTCCCTCGGAGCCCTTCGGATCCTGTCTAGGAGCCCGAAGACATCCCTAAGAACGCTTAGGGGTACATCGGGATATCAGCATCCTTGGGAATCCTTCGGAATCCAGATGAAATCCTTAGGACGCCGTTGGCAAAGTATCCCACAGGAGTCCTTGAGACTTCTTGAGAATCCCCTTATACATCCCCAGGAATCCTGTTGAATGGACTCCTGAGTGGCCTTGAGGAATCCGGAGGAGCCCGAATTCGCAAGGAACCCTTAAGAATCACTAGGAAAACGTCGGAATCCTTTGGCATCTTTAGGAATCATCAGAAACCTTGTCAGAATCCTGAATCCAGGAACCCTTTGGAACCCTTCAGGATCCCTAGGAACCCTTCGGAAACCCTTCAGAGTCGCAGGGGCCCGTAGGAATTCACATGAATCTTGGGCATCTAAAAGAATCCTGAAGAACCCACCGGAATACATAGGAAACCTTGGGGATCAATAGGAAACTGTAGGAATCCAGATGAATCCCCCGGACTTGCTGGGAATCCTCTGAATTCTCAAGAACCCATAAGACTACATGGGAACCTATAGGAAGCCATACGAAAACATTGCTTACCTGAGGCATCCTTAAAAATCTGCAGGCATCACTTGGAAGCCATAGGAATCGTTAGTAATCCGTCTGCGTATTGAAGAGCTCTGCGGGATCCCGAGGGATCCTTCGAAATCCTTGGGACTCCCTCGGAGCCCTTAGGAGTTCTTGGGGATCCAAAGGAATCCCGAGGGATCCCTAGGAATCCTTAGGAATCCCAGGGAAACCGTAGAGCTGTTTAGGAATTCTTCGGGCTCCTGAAGAATCCTTTGGCATCCGAAGGCAGCCTCAGGAATCATTTGGAATTTCAAGGAAGCCCCAGGAATCCATAGTAACCAAGGGGGCTTTTTGGAAAATCTTTAGGAATCACTAGGCGTGATTGGGAATCCTTAGGGATCTTCGGAGTCCTCGGGACTTCTCAGGAATCCGTAGGGATCCATCGGAACTCGTGGTAACCCTTAGGACCCATAGGAATTGTTAGGAATTCTTAGGGGCCACTAGGAATCACGAGGCGTCCCTAGGACCCCTGAGGAATCCTCAGGATTCCATTTGGTTCTACGATTCCGAAGGGGATCCTCCGGATTTCCGTGGAGTCCTCTGGATTCCGCATCAAATCTCAAGAATTTGTAGGAATCCGTGGAAATCCAGAGGTTTCCATCGGGATCCTTAGGATTACCTGGGGATCGTTCGGAACATGGAGGAATCCCAAGGGATCATCAGGAATCCGTAGGCACCCTCAGCAATCCTTAGGAATCTAAGGAATCCGTCGGAATCCAAAGGAATCTTTAGGAACACTTGAGAAACATTGGAAATCCATATGAACCCGTAGGAACCACTCGGAGTCCTAACGAACCCATACGAATCGTTAGGAGCCCATTGGGAACTTCAGGAATTTTCAGGACCCATCTGAATCCTTAGGAACATTGGACATCTTTTTAGGGGTCCTCAGGAATCATCAGGGATCCTTCGGAACCTTTCGGGGCCCTTCGGGTTCCGAAGGATTTGGATTCCGATGGGTTCCGAAGGATCCCAAGAGATCCCGAAGGATCCCGAGGGATTCCGAAGGATCCCGAGGGATTCCGAAGGATCCCGAAGGGTTCCGTGGGATGCCGAGGGATTTGTTTGTTGCGCTGTTGTTGTTGTTGTTGTTGTTGCTGTTGTTGTTGTTGTTGTTGTTGTTGTTGTTGTTGATGTTGGTGTTGTTGATGTTGTAGTTGTTGTTATCGTTTTTGAACTCCCACGACTGAAGAATAAGTATTGTTGACCCCCCCTCCTGTGACCAGTGTGTTTTTTTCAATTGAAGTGCATCCCCAGGGGCTCGCACCCTTTTTATATCAGGGAAAGTCACGGGGCTCAAACTCACAAATGGATTCACAAATGGATTCACAAATCGCGCTCTCGCGCGGGGATTCCTCACAATTCATGTACGCACCGCGCTCTCGCGTGGGACTTCCTCGCAATTGATTCAGACGATACGCCCTCGGCGCTCAGGAATCACGCTCTCGCTTTCTGGCTTTTCTCACAGTTTGCTTGGGAATCGCGTTGTCGCTCGAGACTTCTTCCCGTTTCATGCAGGACCCACGCTTCAACAACCCGCCTGCTCGACCTGGTCGCCTGGGCCCGCCTGCCCGACCTGCCCTCGATGGGTCTGCCCACCCGATCTGCCCGTTTGGTTATACCACTTGCTTTCTGCTTCTTGCCCCCCCCTGCTGATTTCCCTCGTGCTCCATTATTCCCCCTCCCCCCTCTACCCGTCCGTTCCTCCCTTGTTTTAGGGCTTGCGCTGAACGCACGTGGCAGGTAAGGAAGATATCCCCAAGGGGGTACGATCGAAGACGACGAGGGCGGGTACCGAGGTTTTCGGATATACGTATTGATTGGCACGTGAGCAGAAAGGAGCAAGCAGTCTTTAAATGAGTGTTGTTGTTGTTGGTGTTGTCCCCCCCTGATTGACCATGGGGGCAGCGCCGGCCTCTTCCTGCTGTGGGGGAGGCGGTGGATCCGCTCTCGACCCCCGGGGAGGCCATGCTGGCCTGTACCTTGTTGTTGTTGTTGCTGTTGTTGTTGGTGTAGCTGTTGTTGTTATTGTTGCTGTTGTTGCTGATTATTGTTTTTGTTGTGGTTGCTTTTGTTGTTGCTATTGTTGTTGTTGTTGTTGTTGCTCGATTCTGCCGCTGGCGGTGCGTTTGCGGGTGCGTGTGCGTGTGCTTGTGCTTATGCGTGTGCGTGTGCGTGTGCGTGTGCGTGTGCGTGTGCGTGTGGGTGTGGGTGTGGGTGTTGGTGTGGGTGTGGGTGTGTGTGTGTGTGTCTGTGTGTGTGTCTGTGTGCGTGTGTGTGTGTGTGTGTGCGTGTGTGTGTGTGTCGAGGTGGCTGGCCCCCTATACTCGCGACCCCGTCGCCGTAAACATTGCTCGGGCGACGTCGAGTTGTTCCACGGCTTAGGCCTCTGGAGGACCAGCAAGAACGACTCGGGATAAAAAGCCGGCCGAGAGGCCCTGCGAAGGCGCGTCGGAGGGGAGGGCATGTAAACACCAGCGTTGGCCCTGGCGAGGCCAGGACAGGGCCCGGGATCGTCGCGTCCGCCCTCCTGGCCAAGCCAGAGGGGCGTGTGACACCCACCTTGGGCCTACAAGGGGCCTGGCCTGGACAGCCCAAACCCTCGACGTCGGGCCCCCGACGTCGGGTTCCCGACGGCGCGATTCGTTCACAACGTGCGGAGGTCTCGGTTCGTGGCCCCATCCCTGGGACCACTCTTCTCAGAGGCCGAGGGTGGCACACCTTCAGTTGTGATTCTGTCGCGCGCGTGTGGGCCATTCGGAGCGAGGCCAAAATAGACACCCTCTTTTGTGATCGGTTCGCGACGCGACGCGACGTAGTCCTCTATGGTCGTCCCCACAGCGTGGACTCCAAGAGGTCACAAGCTTCGAACGTGGAGTGCTTGTGTGTGTCGGCCCCAGGGCCGAACATAGCGAAAGCCTAAGACACCGCCCGTCGACACTTGGCCGTTCGGAGGAGAGTAAAAAAAGGTACGCATCAATGACACGCTGCCTCTGGTTGCCCCTCAGGACGTTACTCTTTTTGTTGTTGCCCGAAGGCGCTGCGCTTTCTTCAGCAGTAAGACGCTGTTGGGTTCCCCTCGGCGACGTGCCATTGATTGACACTGCTTTAGCCTTTCCCACCCAAGTCACGACGCGACTGCGTCTGGCACTCGATCCCCCCTCCCCCTCCTCCTCCTCCTCCTCCTCCTCCTCCTCCTCTCTCCTCCTCCTCCTCCTCCTCATCATCCATCATCATCATCATCATCATCATCATCATCATCATCATCATCTCCCTACTCCTCCCCCTCCTCCTCCTCCGCCTCCTCCTTCTCCTCCTCCTCCTCCTCCTCCTCCTCCTCGCCCCCTTCCCCCCACAGCGTGGCGCCCCCCCCACCAAAGGCTCCAATCCGATGCTGCAGGCCTTGCTCGCGCAGGCGCCCGCGGGCCCCTCTGCCGCGGACACTGCGGCCCTCATGGCGCAGGCGCGGCGGCGGCCAAAATTCGCTCGACGTCGACGTCAAAAGAAAAAACGCTCGACGTGGGCTCTGTTCCTGGCCCCCGGAGGCGCCCCGACAGAAGTCGAGGCGACAGCGTCTGGAAGCAAGTCTCGGGCCTATCAAGAAACGAGTCGGTATGGGGTATGGCGAACTGGCCCAGGGCAAGGTTAGGTGCTCGTTTGGGGGGGCCCTCTTGGGGCCCACCCGGCAGATCTGTTCGACTCCACTTCGACCCCAGTTCGACTCAAGTTCTTCTCAAGTCCGACTCAGGCTCGACTCAAGTTCGACTCAGGCTCGACTCAGGGTCGACTCAAATCGACGAACGTTCGACGCAGCTTCGACGCAAGAGTGAAGCGAGTGTCTCCAGGAAGGTCCCCAGAATGAGCATCCAAGCGAGGGGTCGAGAGGTCAAAGTTGTTTGGGTGTCCACGCACGGAGCAGAAGTCACGGCCCAGATGTCTGGGCCTGGCCGTCGTGGCAACGAGAGCATTCTGCAGAGACGCGCCAGATGCCCCCCGAGACATCGACGACGACGACGATGACGACGGCGACGGCGACGGCGACGGCGACGGCGACGGCGACGGCGACGGCGACGGCGACGGCGACGGCGACGACGACGACGACGACGACGACGACGACGACGACGACGACGACGACGACGACCTGTCCGCCCTCCCCGCGCAGGCGCAGCAGCAGCAGCCCCCGCAGCAGCAGCAGCAGCAGGCGCAGCAGCAGGCGCAGCGCGCGGAGGAGGAGCGCCGCGAGCAGCGGCGCCGGGGCGAGGCGGCGAGCGCGCAGGCCGAGATGCGCGAGAAGCTGGCCGCCGCGGAGCCCCGCGGGGGGAGCCGCCGGCGGGGGGTGGAGCGGCTGGCCCTCCTCCATCTCGAGGTTCTGGGCTCGAGGCGCTCTCTCCTCCTCCTCCTCCTCCTCCTCCTCCTCCTCCTCCTCCTCCTCCTCCTCCTCCTCCTCCTCCTCCTCCTCCTCCTCCTCCTCCTCCTCCTCCTTGTTACCTTTTTCGGCCTCACGGGGGCCGTTCGCGGGCCCCGGGGTCGCGTGAGAGCGCGTGGTGCCCTCCTCCATGGAGGGCTTCAGGCGGCTCCGAGGTCCTGCTGCTCCGCGATTCTCGAGGCCCGAGGCGTTCCTCCTCACGCTGCTGCTGCTCCTCCTCCTCCTCCTCCTCCTCCTCCTCCTCCTCCTCCTCGTCCTCCTCCTGCTCCTCCTTTCGTCGCTGCGTCGCTGCGGCGAGGCACACTCGAGATGGCCAAGCAAGACGGGCCCCAGAATGGGCCTTGGGATTGATGTCGGCTCGATGTTTTGGAGGGGGTCGCGCTGACGCGGCGGCGACGCCAGCAAAGGCGCTCAGGGCTGAGCTCCACTGGGCTGCCTGCCCCAGGCTTTAGTCGGGTGTGCCCCTCTACAGGAGGAATATTCAAACATAGTTGTTCTTTTTATTGAAAGAAGGTCCCGGGACGATTTATTTGACAATGTTTGTGCATTTGTGTGAGTGACTATATATATGTGTGTATATATATATATATATATATATATATATATTGTCTTTGGTTGGCAATGTCTTGTTTTGCCTCCAGCATCCGCCTGTAGGAGGACATGCCCGACCTTACCCTAGGCCAGCATGGGAGGGCCTCGGACGTCGGAGCGCCGCGGCCGCGCCGGGTGGGGCGGGTGGGCCAGGCCCCCTGGCGCCGTGCTGCAAAGTCACGACGGGGGGCGTTGCACCCGACCACGGCCTGCTCCCTGGGATTCCCTATACAGATCCTTTGCTCCCTGGCCCTCCTCCTCCTCCTCCCCTCCTCCTCCTCCTCCTCCTCCTTCGCTTCCTCCTCCTCCTCCTCCTCCCCCTCCTCCTGCTTCTCCTCCTCCTCCTCGAACCCAGGAGCTATGTGTACGCCACGCCCTCCTAGCTTGACCAGGAGGGCCGTATGCACTGCTCCTTGGCTCAGGATGGGCCTGGCCAGGGAGCAGTGTATATGTGAGGCGTTCCACAAGGGCCCTGCTCTCGAGGGTAGAAGGAGTTGGCATCTAGAAGTCGGCGGAAGTAAAACGAGGCCGCTTCCGCTGGCGAAAGCCGACGGAAGGCTTGCGGAAGGCGGCGGAAGTAAAAAGTTATCCTTCAAGAGATGACAACATTTTTGGGTTCAGGGTTTCCGGAGCCCGCCCTGTATAGACTTTGTCGCCCTGCGTTGCATGGGGGAACACTGCCAGGCTCCGGCGGGTTTTGTGGGGCCGTCGAAGCACACTGGATGGGAGGCCAGCCCCGGGGACGAGGCCAAGACATCCGGGGGAAGGCCACGCCGTGAAACGATGGACCAGGCCCACGCCCACGCCCACACCCGCGCCCGCAACCACGCCCACACCCTCGCTCACGCCCACCGCGACGCCCACGCCCAAGCCCGAGCCCACGCCCACGCCCACACCTACGCCCACGCCTACGCCCGCGCCCCCGCCCACGCCCACGCCCACGCCCGCGCCAACCCTCACGCCCATGCCAACCCTCACGCCCACGCACCCGCCCGCGCCCGCGCCCACGCCCACGCCCACGCCCACGCCAACCCTCACGCCCACGCCAACCCTCACGCCCACGCACCCGCCCGCGCCCGCGCCCACGCCCACGCCACGCCCACGCCCACGCCCGCGCCCACGACAACGCGCACGCCCACGCCCACGCCCGCGCCCGCGACCACGACCACGCCCACGCCCACGCCCACGCTCAAGCCCAAGCCCACGCCCACGCCCACGCCTACGCCCACACGCCCACGCCCACGCCCGCGCCAACCCTCACGCCCACGCCAACTCTCACGCCCACGCACCCGCCCGCGCCCGCGCCCACGCCCACGCCCACGCCCACTCCCACGACCACGCCCACGCCCACGCCTACGCCCACACGCCCACACGCCCACGCCCACGCCCGCGCCCACGCCTACGCCCACTCCCGCGCCCACGCCCACGCCGATGCCCGCGCCCACGCCTACGCCGATGCCCGCGCCTACGCCCACGCCCACGCCGGTGCCACGTCTACGCTTACGACCACGCCCACGCCAACGCCCACGCCCACGCCCGCGACCACGCCCACGCCCACCCCCGCGCCCACGCAAAGGCCCAGGCCCACGCCCACGCCCACGCCCACGCCCACTTCGGCGCCAGCGCAGGCCCAGGGGGGGGAGGGGGGACTGGAGGGTTCGAGTCGGTTGAGAGCAAATCACGGCTAGTCGTGGCAAGTCCTGGCCAATTGGGGGCCAATCCCGCCGACAGCGCCACCAAACTCGGACTTACTCTGGCCGCGTTAGTGTAATGTACATGTTTCAGGCACTTCTTGTTTCAAGCTGGTTGTTTCTGAGGTTTCACTTTGTTCCTGATGTTGTGCGATCAGGGCAGAGAAGCTTCGACGTGATCACGGTGACAATGAAGGTATCGATGATGATGTAGGTAAAAGTGATGTTGATGATGGTGATACGATGCGTAAGCGTAACCTCTGCGAATCGCAAACGGAACGTACACGAAACGTACACGACCTGGTGCACTAGGGAAGTCCTATGCAATCTGCAGGACAACCTAGGGAAGCCTCAGTAGTATGAGTGGCAGTTGCATTAGTGTAGTAATACGAGTCGTCGTAGTAGTCGTCGTCGTCGTAGTAGTAGTAGTAGTAGTAGTAGTAATAGTAGCAGTACTCGAAGTAGTAGTAGTAGTAGTAGTAGTAGTAGTAGTAGTAGTAGTAGTAGTAGT